GAGGCTTCCTGCGGACGCATTGCTGGAGTTGCTTTGGAGCCCACAATGCTGCAGACGCGTTCCTCCGATCGCGATATGGCTCGATAGAGGCCCAGGATCTCCCATCGGGAATGCACGAGCTGCTGCGTTTTATTCCCTCGGCAGATCGCCTATTGCATTGCTACTGCAGCGGAACCAGCGAAGCACTTGCTGCTAGGCTGGGGTCTCTGGTCCTAGAAAGTGCGACACGCAGTGCAGCTGATGTCCTCAGCTCTGGGGGATGGGTCGAGACTGCGCGGGCCCAGACTACGCGGGCGTCAAGCTCGTGGACAACGACGAGCCAGCGGTCGGATTTTTTTGAATTCTGGAAGGATAGTTACGGGCGGACATTACCTAGAGATGGCAGAGCATTGTATGGGGTAGACTTCGGGCCACCAGATGCGAAGCCCATCGTCTGCCGCGCCTCGAAGGGGCACTCAGTGAGGGTGGTTCGGCCTGAGCGCATATACCCCCGTCATCAGCCGACAGGGAAAGATATGCCAACGGCGATGATATTTCCTCTCGCTGCATCGAGCGTCTTGTGACCGATGATTGACAATATGGTTTCTCCAGGGGCCGACGTCGACGGGGGGCGGCAGCGTCGCTGTGCGTCTGCGACCCCTGTCAATTCGCATGACTTTCCGAGACTGGGCGACCTTGTCGCGGAGACGGCCGAGGACGATGCACATGATGAGATAACCCTGGTACAGAGATACAAGGGCGGTTCCCGCGTTGGTTGCGTCCGCACGGATGGTCTAGGTCGCTATTTGACGAAAATTTGGGCGCGAGGGTGCTTGATGTGGGCAACTCAGAGACTGTTTGGGCGGTAATTGTGGCAACTGTCCCTTCTCGAATCTTCGACAATGCTATCTTCTGGGTCATGCCCGACGGCTTCTTGGCGACCGAGTTCCGTCCGCGCTTGGGGCGAGATGCGCCAGATCCTGCGGATCGCCGTGTCAGACGCATCCGCCCCGACGGTGTCGTGGACGGTCGTGTTCGATGGGCGTTTCGGAGGAGTTTGGGTCTCTTCCACTAACTTAGCGGACGCAGGGTGCGTCGACCACGTTAAACACAAGGAAGACTTTGTCACGCACGGTGACTTAAATGATCGGATGGCTTTAGGATTCAGGAGACTTTCAGCGTCAGGCGATGCTTCCTCCGCCCAGGGAGGATGGCTACCCCGCATGCTCAAAGGCGTGTCGCAATCGCTTGGGCGCGCTCACCTGATCGCGCTGCTCGCAGCCGACACTGTACGTGCCAAGGCTTGGGGCCCCAGAAGTGATTCGTCCTGCAGTTGCATGGGGAATGCTCGGCCTTAGGAAGTTCATGAGTATGGACATAGACCCCGAGACCGGGAACCGCGCTCCCGCGTCGATTGCGAGGCCCCCGCCATATGCAGATGGAAAGATCACCGTCAGAAACATAGCTAAAGCTGAACAAACGTGGAAAGATCCACAGGGGGGAAAATCCTGGTGCAAATTGGCTTTCCAGGGCAAGACAGCCGAGACGGTTTAATGCATGAGTGCGCTTGTGTGGCGGCCCGCGTCGGCGGAATATGCCATGCCAGATCAGGTCCACGCATGGCTTGTTAACAAAGCTCAGACGTTGGGCCAACGTTGGGTCAACTTCCAGAAGCACATGGGCGCGCCGGCCGTCGTCCCGACAGCTGTTGTCCCTGCTGAAATTTGGCGGCCGTTCCTGAGCTACCACGTCCAAGCCGACGGGCAGAACTTCTGATATTTGGGGCTTGTTTTGTGGGGGAACCTCAGACTGTTTGATAAAGAGGCACTCGACCCATCGATCAGGTGGGAGACGTGGCGACTGGGAGAAGGTAATATCACCCCCTCACTCTCGAGTACCATGAGTATGTGATGTGGAACGACTTCGTGGACAACTTGGGACCTCTTGGGCCGATTGAACAGGGCGATACAGTAGAAGAAGAAGGGTATGATCACGCTGCTGCGTCTGCCGATGGCGCCGCGTCCCCGCCCACTGGAGATCATCGCCACGGACGCACACCACCGCCGAGGCAGGAGCGCCAGCCTGCGCGGGCTAGGACCGCTGCACGCGGTGGAGAGGCATCTCGTGCTCAGAAGCGCGGCGACAGCTTTGACCCGCCCGGACAGGCCTCCAGCGTGCGCTCTCGAGCGTGGGAGCTTATAAAATGGCGGCTGGACCAGGGCATGCCACTGCGGGCATTACGGCAGCGTGGCCCTCTCGCGATCAGTAGATCTTCAGCGAATGATTGGCGCGCATCGCCTGACGCGCCCCCTCGGCAAAAGGTTTAAGCCGCAGCCGACTAGGAATTGGCATCCGCTTGGCGAACCCGCTACCGCTCTGACGCCGGCGCCGCCAATGCCGATTGCGTCGGCGGCCGCGGCAGCTGCGCAGGGGCCTGCTGCACCATGGCATCGCGACTATGGCCAATGGTCGCAGGGCGAAGCTGCGTCTTCGCGAGTCCCTTGGCATGCCGCGACGGCTGATCGCTGGAGGTCCTGGTCATTTTCGAGCTGAACTGGCCAGCAGACCCAGCGCGACGACCAGAGTCGTGAACGCGGCTATGGTGGTCAGCGATGGAAGAGCGACCGCTCCAGCGGCGGACATGGTTGAAGGTCGAGGCGATGTCCGAGCCTGACCCGGTCCCCGCGGGGAGCAAATATGAATGGCAGGCGCGCCAAGGTCATCGATGGGTTGGTAGCGGTATGGGTTGATGGTTGGGCGGCACGCGCCTCTAATACTATTCCGGGGTGGGGCGCGTCGGGGGGCCCTCGACTTGTCCCATTTAGCGATGACAGGAGTACTCCCTTCCCTGCTGCCTGCGCCGTCAAATTATGTTGGGGTTGGCGCGGAGGGGGGCCCAAATTGATTTTTCGGGAAGGGGCGAAGGCTGTCCGGCGCTCTCGGGACTTGCTGAAGGCTCCTTGGCATGTCCTGCCTTTTCTGCTTGGGATGTGCGGGGGGAGTCGTTGCTAACACTCCATTGGCCTACTTTCCACAGCCCTCCACTCTTTTCCCTTACAGAGTGCAGGTGGGACATGCATCGTGCGGAGGGGCTGTCTTCGCAGCTGCGATCGCTACTCATGCAAAAGCGCGCGCGCCAGCTGGCCGGGCGGGCCCGCCTCGCGCGCGCGTGGATGCACAATACTTTGCTTGGAGCAGTTCGGCTTGGCAAACGAACGCAGCCATGTACTCGCCAGCTCGCAATTTATGTTCGTTTTTTTTTTTTCCGCGAGCTGCTCGAAGGAGAAGATCAACAAGCAGAACAGCCCATCAATAACAAGACACGTTTGTCTAGTACGACGGTTGATCGGCAATACATTGAACGTTAAGGGGGGGGTCAGGAGGAGGAGGAGGACGAGGAGGAGGACGAGGAGGAGGACGAGGAGGAGGAGGCGAAGGAGGAGATGGAGGAGGAGGAGGAGGAGGAGGAGGAGGAGAGGGGGAGGAGGAAAAAGGGAAGATTGAGGGATCGGAAAGAGGGCTTAGAAAAGGCGAAGGTCTGAATTCTTTACGCTTCGCGTATCCCCACCAGCCCATCTCACAGCAGCAGCTCTCGCGAAGCATGTCGACAGTTGTGTTTTTCAGGCGTGTGTCCGCTGGGCTCCGTATATCTCCCCTGTCCCTCCTTCCTCCCGCCTCCTTGTGAATCCTCCTTGTGGGGGGAGCGGGAGAAGGACGAGGCGGAGGAGGAGGGAGAGAAAGCGCTCCTCGTGATTTGAGTCGTTTGGGGTTTCTCGTCCTGGTGTGAGTCGTTCGGGCCCTTCTTCCTGGTGTGAGTCGTTCGGGCTCTTCGTGGTGTGAGTCGTTCGGGCTCTTCGTCCTGGTGTGAGTCGTTCGGGCTTCTCGTGGTGTGAGTTGTTCGGGCCCCTCATCCTGGTGTGAGTCGTTCGGGCCCCTCCTCCTGGTGTGACTCGTTCGGGCTCCTCGTGGTGTGAGTCGTTCGGGGCCCGCGTCGTGGTGTGAGTCGTTCGGGCTCCTCGTGGTGTGAGTCGTTCGGGCGCCTCGTCCTGGTGTGAGTCGTTCGGGCCCCTCCTTGTGGTGTGAGTCGTTCGGGCTCTTCGTGGTGTGAGTCGTTCGGGCCCCTCGTCCTGGTGAGTCGTTCGGGCTCCTCGTGGGGCCTCTTGGGGGCCTCTTGGAGCCTCTTGGGGGCCTCTTGGGGGCCTCTTGGGGGCCTTTTGGGGGCCTCGTGGGGCCCTTGGGGGCCTCTTGGGGGCCTCTTGGGGGCCTCTTGGGGCCTCTTGGGGGCCTCTTGGGGGCCTCTTGGAGGCCTCTTGGGAGCATCCTGGGGGCCTCTTGGGGCCATCTTGGGGCTTCTTGCGACCTCCGCAGAAGCGCAAATGAGCGCTGCCCCCTGAGAAGGACAAAATGAGCCCAAAACCTTTGTAAAATCAGTGATTTTGCTAGGAGGGAAGATAAGCGCGGCCCCCTCAGAAGGCCAACATGGGCCCAACACCGTAGTAAAATCAATGATTTGTGCTTCAAAGACGAGCTGAGGCACCAAACTCCCCCGCCCGGGGCCAGAATCCTCGTGAGGGTCGTCGTTTTTTGGCCCTCCCAGGAGTCGAAAAAGGCCCCCTTGACACCACTCGGAACTCCCTCTCCAGGTCCAGGGGAGGGGGTAGGGGGAGGGGTAAACCCCTCCCCGAAGGGGAAGAAGGGTTGAGGACAAAGGGGGCTCGCTAAACCACTCACGCCCAAAGGGCTGGTGGGATTTTCCCTCCTTGCTCTTTTTCCTCCTCTTTCATTATCGTTGGCCCTCCCGTCCCGTCCCCTCCCTCTTCTCCGCCTCCCACCCTCCTCGTCCTCTCCCATCACTATCCCTTCCTCCCCCCCCCATTCTGGAGATCCTAAGAGGTCTCCAGAGGCCAAAACGGGGCAGAGAGAGTCCCGCAGTTGGTGCGGCCCCAGGAAAAAGCGCGCCAAAGCCCAGGAGCTCTGACCCTCACTGGGGGGCGGGGGCCGCTGCGCCGAACGGCGAGGAGTGGGCGTTCGATTCGCTCGACCGGGAGAGGGCCTTGCGGGAGCTGGAAATCCGCTCCAACGTCACAAAGGACGGCGGGCCCACGGGGGCCGCTTCGGCGGCGGCCCGCCAGCCCGGCAGCAGGAGGAGCAAGGCCGGGCCTCCGACGTCGGGCGACGATGTGCACGAACTATACGAACGTCCGGTTGATTTGGCCATGATTTGGGTATGCGCGCAGTGCCTTTGTCCGATCTCCCTGTGTTCCCTTCGGTGTTTCTTCATCCTCGCCCGTCCGCATTTCTCTGATGAGCTAATTGTTTTCGTAGACGCTCTGCTTGGCGAGGGCGACGCTAGCTGATTGTTCTGTGCTGACTGCTCGACGGGGTGATGATGGCTCAGCAGAGCAAACTTTCTGTCTCCTGACTGTGGCCTCCCGTGTCCTAATCTGCTCAAGGCGCGGGCCCTGGAGTCCTCGGCCCCTTCCTTTCCCAGGGCCAGTTTTCGACCCGGGTTTCTTTGACGGTTCCGGGCCCGACAACGGCCTTCACACGCCGAACATGTACCAAATAATCTTCGTCTGTCTAGTTTATCATGACGTTGAACGTCTGTGCCTCCCTCAATCCTATCTCCTTCATCACCCTCCTCCTCCTCCTCGTCTTCCTCCTCGTCTTCCTCCTCCTCCTCCTCTCCGACGGTCTCCTAACTCCCGTGCTGGGGTAGGCGTCTGAGGGACGGGGGAAGGTTGGTTCATCTGCCAGGGTGATTGTGTGGATGCCCTACGTAATGTATCGAGCTGCCTGCGGCAAGCCGCGCCACCGTGCCTGTGCAACAGCGTAGCAGGTTTGAGGCTGAGTGTAAGAACAGCGGAACTTCGGTGAGTAGTCTGTCTCGTCTTCGTTCGCGCGGTAGGGAGAAGGAGGAGGAGGGGGAGCAGGAGGAGGAGGAGGAGAAGAAGAAGGTGGACGAGGAGGAGGAGGAGGTGGAGGAGAAGAAGGTGGAGGAGGAGGAAGAAGAGGAGCAGGAGAAAGAGGAGGAGGAGGAGTTGGAGGAGGAGGAGGAGGAGGAGGACGAGGAGGAGGGAGGAGGACGAGGAGGAGGGAGGAGGATGAGGCGGAGGCGGAGGCGGAGGCGGAGGCTGCTGCTGCTGCTGCGGAGGAGGAGCAGGAGGAGCAGGAGGAGCAGGAGGAGGAGGAGGAGGAGAAGTGGAGTGAGGAGGAGAGGGAGGAGGAGGAGGAGGAGGAGGACGAGGAGGAGGAGGAGGAAAAGAGGAGGAGGAGGAGGAGGAGGAGGAGGAGGAGGAGGAGGAGGAGGAGGGGGAGAACATGAGGATGAGTAGGGGGGGGAGCTTCTTGGGACCTCCTAGGAGCCTTCTGGGAACTTCCTGCAAGCTGCTTGGGGCCTCTTGAGGGGCTCATGTGGCCTCTTGGGGGTCTCTGGGGGCCCTTGGGCCGTCTTAAAGGATTCTTGGCCCGACTGACGCCCATGGAGGCCCCCTTGGGGGCCTCTCTAGGCCGTGGTGGTGCCCTCTTGGGGCGGTCCTCTGTCCTTTTTCTGGGCCCTCTTGGGGGCCCCTTGGACAATGTTTGGAACTTGTTGGGCCGACTTCAGGCCCTCTTGCGGGTCTTCCAGGCTGTCTGGGAGCCATCTTGGGGTCCGCTCGGAGGTTTTTTGGGCCGTCTTGGGCGGTCGGAAGCCCGAACAAGCGAGAACCTCAACACCTTCCAACGACCGAAGGACCATCAATGGGTTTGCCTTGCTCGGGCTCTCCACGAGGGTTTCTTCGAGCCCTCTTGGGCCGGCCGTCTTCGGGGCTTCATGATATTGTTTTGGGAGCCTCTCGAGTCGTCTTGGGCCATCTTGGGCCATTTGGGTGTCATCTTGCTTGCCTTGAAAGCCGTCCAGGAGACCATGAGGCTCCCTAAACGGCCTCAAGACGGCCCAAGGGGCCTCCAAGCCGGCCCAAGAGGTTTCTAAATGGCCTTCCAGGAGAGCCCGAGGAGGCCAACACCATTGATATTTTTCCCAATGTGCTCGAAGGATTTTGAGGTTCTGGTGTGTTCGGGTTTCCAACCGCCCCAGAATCCGAGAGACTTTTCTGGGCAGTCTTGATGCTCTTTGGTAGCGCTTCAAGGTCTCTTGAGGCTCTCTTGGGAGCCCCTTGGGCAATCTGTGGGTCCTCTTGGCCCGACTTGGAGCCCTCTCGGGGAGGCCTCTTGGAGGCTTCTTGGGCGGTCGGAAGCCCGAGCAGGCGAGAACCTCAAAACCTTACACACATTTAAGGACAGTCAATCGTGTTGGCCCCTTCGGGCTCGCCAGAAAGGCCCCTTGGAGCTCTCTTGGCTCGACTTGGGGGCCTCTTGGGCCGAGGCCTCCCGGGCCGTCGTGAGGCTGTCTCTTGAGCTATTTCGGTCCATCTTGAGCTTTTTGGTTTTCTCTTGGCTGTCTTAGCAGCCATCTTGGAGGCCATCTTGGCCGTCTGGAGGCCGAAGATACCGCCAGAAAACAATTTCAGAGGGGGCGTTTCTTATCTACGAACCTCCCAGACAACATACGAGCATTCGAATAATCACGCCCACTCCGTGCAGGCACGGTGGAGGATTCAGGTGTCGAGACGATGCGTTGTCTTGACCCTGTACGCTTGTACGCTTGTTAAAGCAGGACAGCTCGTCCTTAGAGTTTACGCATGGAGCAATGCACCGCCGATACTTCCGAATTCTCATCCTCTCGGCTCCGTCCCCCCCTGCAGGAAGTGAAGATGTCCAAGCAGCGCTTCCGGGAGGGGGCTGGGCGGCGTCGCGGTACTGCAGGGTCAGCACGCGTTCGGGCACGCGATCGTCCTTGAGTGATCTACCTCTGGAGGAGGAGGAGGAGGAGGAACCTTGAGGTCCCGGTTAGTTCACGCTGAGCGTATTCGCCGAGTTTCGTGCCCGGGGATCTTCTCACACACACACGCACACACTGATCTGGCTCAAGAAGTGCCGCAGGAAGATGATGGGGTCAAGGGCGTAGATCGCGATGTTTTACAGTATGTTGTATCGTGTTTCGCGACGTAATGCCTCAAGGAACCTCAGAGCATGGCGACGTTTGTTTTGCGCTTTTGGGCTCAGAGAACCGTTTCTTGGCCAATGGCCCGTCCAAACAGTTCGTCTGTGTGAAAGTCTGGTCGTGGGGACCAGGTCGATGTCCCTGGGGCCATGCCACCAAAAGATTGCGACGTCGGATGCAAGGGGAGGATCGACGATCGGGGATCTAAGATAGGCGACTGAAGTTTTCAGATTTTTCGGGGGGGCCTGCAAGAGCGCCCTCGCGGCCACAGCCAGATCTGCCTCGGAATCCAGATCAGAACGCGACATGGGACAGGTCCTGGGATCGGTTTGTGAGGGAGGTCCCAGGCCCTCCAACGTCCTGAGAAAGTCAAGGCTGAGGTCTTTCGTTAGTCTCGGCATTTGGAGGCCGCTTCTGGGCCCCGGGATCGTCAAACAAGAGCCCTCTGTATGTCGTGCGCGTGGTTTGCCGGACGCGTTGTTTGCCGTGTCCCGTCGTGCTATTTGCGTCTAGTTGTTTCTGGCCTGTCCCCCTCTTTCCCTGCGTGTGTTGCGGAGGCTTATTGGGGCTTCTCGCGGGGCCCCTCGGAGACCTCGGGTAGCCTTTTGGGAGCCTTTTCAAGGCTTCTGGGTTTTTGGGGAGACCCTCTTAGGGCTTCTTCCGGGTCCTCTTGTTTGCATCTTGAGGGCATGTTGGGCGTCCTGGGTGTCATCTTCTGGGGATGGCTCCCAGGGCCATTGCGAATTCCCCCTCTTTCTTTGGCCTCCCTTGTCCCTCTTGCGGCCCTCCTGAGTCCTTTTTTGGCCGTCTTGCGGGCCTTTTCGAAAGTCTTGGGGCCCTTTTGAGCCTTCTCCAGGGTCTCTTGGGGGGCGTGTTGAGCTTTCTTCAGCCAATCTGGGAGGGTTCCCGGCCGTCTCGGGGTTCAGAACCCCTTGAATTGGCAAGAGCATTCAAATCGTCAAACAAGAACTATGTGAAAATCAGTGAATTGTGCCCTTTCAGCCGTCTTGGGGGTCCTCTTTGGGCGTCTTCCAGCCCTGTTGGGCCGTCCTGAGGCCATCTTGGGTGCTGGGGAGGCCTCTTTGGCGCGTTGGAGTCCTTCTTGAGCCATCTTGCAGGGTATCTTGGGCATCTTGGAGGCCGCGGTGAGTGGAGGAAAGTGGCGTACAGTGCGTGCGCTGCACGCGTGAGTAGCACCAGCGCAGATGTTCCCTGAAAGGTGCGCTCCCCCTTGGGCGCGGCGCATGCTCGCCGCTCGCCAAGCACGGCGGAAACGGAGCTTCGCGCGAGACAACGACATGCTGTTCTCGCCTCAGTGGCGCGATAAGCTTCTTCAAACTTGCGCTCACGCTTGCGCGGCGCATGCCTTGTTGCCAGCCGAACTCGAAAATGGGGCCATGTGACAACAAGGCAATCGATATAGGGTCGAGCTCGCCTCGCGCGGGCATTTGCACCGAAGGGGCTTCTCTAGAAACGCGCGAGCGCTCTGGCATGCAGAGGCAGATGCGAGGTCAACCAAGTGTTCATTTCAGATCCGAGTTCACTAACCGCAGAAGCCGTGACATGGTTGACACGGGGCCGATCGAGCGGGAAGTCGTGCCTAAGTTGCTAAGACTAGTTTTTGTTGGGGTTCGACGACAAATGCTGTGAAGTCCCAGGCGCAATCTGATTTTGCAGGGTGGCGACGCGCCGAAAGGAGTTTGGATTCAAGGGGTTGTGGCGGAAGCCCTGCCCCTTCGCTCGGGGCAGCGCTCGGGAGCCTTTCCGCGCATGCCTGTGGCCACGTTAGGCCGGCAGGGTGGGTAGGATCGTGTTACCTTGTACCCTCATCATGCGGGAAAAGGGTCTCGAGGCCAAGGGGTCCTGAGGTGTTTCGCCGTTTTCAGCCTCCGGTGGCCCGCCCCCAGCCTCGGGATCGCCAATCGACTCCAGATCAAGAAACGGCCCGGGTGCTGGGGCCCGGTTCCCTCAGGATCATTTTCCTTGCTGCAAGCCGTACCCCGCATCTCTCCCCGATGCCTCCAGTCCCATCGGCGATGCTCGCTCGACGTCGAACTGCGGGACGGTTTTGCCAGAAGAGCTCCTCGGGAACGGAACACGCAGCCCTGTGTTTCGCTTGAGGGCCGATCCAACACAAGTGCAATGTGCTGGTAATTACTCACCCAAGCGGCGGCATGCATTGCAGAGCGTCAATGGTTGGAGTGTGGCGACGTGTGTTCCAGAGCAAGCTGGGAGTGCGGGGGACCTACCGTCTAGCTCGATCTGCCCGCTTGATTCATGTTGATGTGTCTATCTTCCTTGCAATTGTATATGGGAGCCTTTGGCCGATCGCGCCGCCGTGCCTGAGTCGTGGACCAGAGGCCTCTTGGATGCTTCTTGGGGCATCTTAGGCGCCTCTCGGAGGCGTCTTCGGAGCCTCACGGGAGCCTCGTTGGGGCATCTTGGGTGCCTTCTGGACGCCTCTTGGGGGCCTCCGGGGGCTTCTTGGGGGCCTCCTGATGGCCTGGTGGCTGCCTCGGGGGCCATCCTTGGGATGGAAGGATCCGCATGACAATTTGAGTTCCCCGTATGTGGCCCCTCTTGGAGGCATCGTGGGTGCCTGTTGACCCCTCTTCGGGGCATCGGGTTCCTTCTTCCATCCTGAATGATGCGAAGACCGAAACGGCGACTTTGCGAAAATCATGCAACACATATTGTAGTGGCTTCCGGCCAGTGCCGCCGATCGGGGGCGCTCTGGATGCGGTGTCCTGCACCTCCGAGAGAAACCGACGGGAAGCTCCGAGGGGGTGGTCCCGAGATGGTCGGGGCCCCGAGCAAGGCCAGGGTCCCGGAAGGGGTCGGGGCTCTGAGCGAGGGTGGAGGTTTGGAGGAGGGGGTCGGAGCTCGGAGGAGGAGAAGTGGGGGGAGGCTGCGAGGAGAGCCCCGGGGAGTGTGGGGGCACGAGAGGGAGGTCGGGGTCTCGAGAGGGAAGTCGGTGGTCCCAGGGGGGGAGTCGGTGCCTGGGCCCGTAGGATGGCTCGAGAGAGGGTCGGGGATCCGAGGGGAGGATGGGGGCCACGAGGGTACCACCGACAGGGAGGTCGGGGGCGCCGAAAAGGAAGGAGGCCGGGGAGCGAGGGGAGGTTGTGGCCTCGAGGAGGCTCCGAAGGGAGGGCGGAGCTCTTAAAGACTCGGGTAGCGGAGCGAGGTTTCGAGGAGGGGGGGGCCGGGGACTCAGAGAGGTCTGAGCCCTGAGGAGATTCCGAGGCGGGGGTCGGGGCTCCGATAGCACCCCGAAATGGGTCGGGGCTTCGGAAGGGGTCGGAGGCTGTGAGAGGATGGAGTTTCGAAGGCGGGGGTAGGGCTGGGGGCGAGGGGGGCGGGGGCGGATGCGGAAGAGGGCAGGGGCAAAGGCGGGGGCGGGAATGAGGGCAGGGGCGCTGGCAGTGGCAGCTCGGGGGCGGGGAATCGGGCGGGGGCGGAGGCAGGGGTGGGGGCGAGGGGGGCGGTGGCGAATGCGGGGGGAGGGGGGCGAGCGCGGAGGCGGGGGCGTGAGCGGTGGCGCCAGCGGTGGCAGTTGTGGCGCGGAGGCGGGGGCGGGGGCGGAGGCGGGGGCGAGGGCGGGGGTGGAGGCGAAGGCGCGGGCGCGGGCGCGGGCGCGGGCGGGGGGAAGGGCGAGGGCGAGGGTGCGGGGGCGTGGGGGCGCGAGCGCGGGCGCGGGCAGAAGCGGGGGCGGGGGCGAAAGCGCTGATCCCCCGCTAAGTGCTGACCCCTCCCCCCTGCTGCAGAGCGGAGGCGGGGGCGAAAACGCTGATTCCCCCGCCCCTGCAGAGCGGAGGCGGAGGGGGGCGAACGCACTGACCCCCCACATTCCCTTGCAGACCCTAGCAGAGCGGAGGGCGGAGGGGAGGGCGAAAGCGCTGACCCCCCTCCCTTCAGAGCGGAGGCGGCGGGCGAAAGCGCTGACCCCCCCCCCCCCTTGCAGAGCGGAGGGGGAGGGGGGGGGGACGAAAACGCTGACACGCCCCCCAGCTGCAGAGCGGAGGCGGGGGTGTCAAAAACCCTTACCCCCCCTGCAGAGCGGAGCTTAAGCGAAGCTCAAGCTCACGCTCTTTTGAACTCACACGCCGGATCGGCGGAGTTCTTGTTGCAGCTATTTTGGCGGTCCCCTGCCCTTCCAAGACTGCCCAAGAGGCCCTCCCCAGGACTGCCCCGCCGGACCGTCTTGGGGTATGTTGGCAGGTTGGAGTCCGAACCACGCTCCCGAGGCCTTCGGAGAAGTCATGCGAGAGGCGGCAGTGCCCAAGGGCGCCCAAGATTTCTGTGAGTTGGTGTCTCGGGCCCTTGAAATGCTTCTACCCTTGTCGATTCGGGGAATTTGAAGAGCCCCGAGAACATCCCACTTAGTTCCTCGCTGCACGGTAGCAGGTATGGATATCGTTCTTTATACATGCATTGTCCCTCTTGTCATTTGAGGTGATACTCGCGCTGTCTGTGAATCATGTTCCCATCTCTCGTCCCCCTTCCTTCCCTTCCCCCTCCGCCTCCGTAATCAGTCTCTCCTGCCTGCCTCATCTGTCGCCCGTCCTCGTCCCTCCTTCCTGCATCCTCTTTCCTACTCATTTCACCTCGTGACGAGTCGTGGTGGTCTGGGGAATGAGGAGCCAGAGGGGGGCCTGATTGTGAATCCCAGGCCGTTGTGAGACCATTCAGCGCACAACCGCTTTGTTCAGATACTTCCGAGTCCGTGAAAGGTCGACCGCAACGCGAGTTCCGTATCAATGCGGCTCCGAGGTATGGTACGTTTGAGAGGGCCAGCATCAGACATCAGAGAGATTTTACATGAGTAGTCACAGTGTGTCCTTCCGAGGGTTGCACTAAGCCTTGGGTATGGAACTAGCCCCGACGGATGAGTTCCTCGATCACTCGCGCGAAGACAAACGCGCGTCGCGCATCGTGGCTTAGGCCTGAGCTGCGCCCCTCGTTAGAGGCGTGGCGCGACTTCGCGAGGACAGCTGCACATCTCGGGGCGCGAACCGCCTAGGTACATTCAGGAGGCTAGGTTTCGATTCGAAGATCTGGCGTGGTCGATGTGCGGGAGGCGCCGGGGGTGGCTTCATGTTTGATGGTGCCACAGGCAGAGAGGGGACATGTGCATGTTGTTCACTGCTGCCCTCAGGCGCATTGAGGCATTCCGTGTACCTCCCAAGATGATGTACGAGGGACGTCCGAGGCCATCAATGAATAATTGGCTGGTTGACCTACGACGTAGTTGCAAATTCTCATGTAGAGGGCGATGTGAAGTCGGATTGGGCGGGGAGGAGATATTGTTCAAGTACGCCGGGATCAGAAAGGATCGCCGGGCGTGTGAGAGTGCCGCGGCAATTTGTAATCGGTTCAATTTGCCCTGAGAATGGGTTTTCTTGTTGCTCGTGTCATGTATCCCTCTCCTCCATTCCTCTTGTCCTTCCTCCCCCCTTCCTGTACCATTTGACACATTCATAGTCGTACCCACTCATACTCAGACTCACTCGCACGCCGACTCACTCATTCCCACCTTCACTCGTACACAACCGCTCTTACTCACTCGTACTCAGTCATCACACGGACTTCCCCATGTTTCATTTGACACCTCCTCTGCTGACCCATATTCACTTACGTCCCCCACCTTAGCTGACGAGGGCCATCTGTGTTGGTATAGCCCATTTGAGCTGATCTACGTACGCGCGAGGTTTCAGAGGTCTGTGTCCGCCTGCTCTTGCCCGCCGCTACCCCCCCTCGTTCTCGTGTTCGCGTCTCCGCTTGTGTCTTGAATCACAAAAGGGGTGGCAGACGCTTGTGGAGAGCAAATCGTACGGCTCTCGACATTGTTCGGGCTTGCCCATGTGGTGGTCTGTGGGTACGTGTACTTGCAGTTTCTTCAGGTCACATGTCCCGCCGTGGCGCTCGGTTTGCGTTGGCCACTTCAATATCATATTGAGAAGTTGCCCTAAACAGGGTTGGCCGGAGGGGGGTTGACCGGGAGGGTTGGCCAGGTAGGGTTGGCCAGCGGGGTTGGCCAGCGTATCGTCGTACGGGAAGTTACATCGTCGAAGCGTCTACGTACGAAGGTCTTCCACTGGAAGCCATCGTGCTGGATCTATGTCTTAAGTCTCTTCGAAGTCGTAGGCATTGGCATCTTCCTCCTCTGGCGGTTGCCTGTTTGATCGTCCTCTCTTGTTCATTATTCTCTGCGCCTCCCTCCCGCGTCCCCTCTGGCTCTCCCTCCCCGCGTTCCCCTAGTGTTTAGCTGTGCCCTGGCGCGTCCCGCTGCGGCTTGACCGCTGTTTGGATCGCTCACGGCCGCCGACTAGTAAGAAAGTTCATCCTCCTCATCCTCCTGAAGCTTCTTCTCCCTCGCCATCCTTCTCGTCCTCATTCCTCCCTCACTCTCTGTAGGGGGCTTCGGGCGTGGCAGTTTCGGGCTCTCGGCGGTGCGCGCTTCCGTCGACGACGCCCCAGCCGCTTAGGTCAAAGACCGAGGGCTGGCGTTGGCCAGGGGGTCGGCGAGTGTGGTTCTCTGATCGGCAAGTAGTTCCAGAAGGCATCGTAGATTCTGTTGACTGGAATTATGGTGCCTGCTTGGTGGTGCCTTTGGGAGTACAGTGCGTGCGGCGTTGCGTAAAGAAAGCGTCACCGCACTCGAGCCTCCCAAAGGGAGGCTATCAGGGGGTTGTTTCGGTGCTGGTCGCTCTCAAGTCGCTGGGATCTCTCAGGTGGAGCGCCCTTTTAAGGGGTTGGGCGTACCTCGTACCGTGGCCAAACACGGGGGCATGCACCAAAGGGGTATCACGGGCCCGTTCGGTTCCAAATAGTTGGGACCTTTCAGGCTTAATTCGCGCTTGGGAGGGTGGGTGCGATTCTGCTGGGTTTGTTTGAGCCACCAGGGGGTATTGCACGAGCCGGTTCGCGCACCAGGTGGTGGGACCTGTCGGGTTTGAACTTCTGTTTGGTGAAGTGGCCGTGTGTCTCTGTTGGGCCCCATGGCCCGAGCGTGGGGAGGACGTACTGGGGGAAGATGTGAGTAACAACTCGCACACCAAACGCCACGAAGGGATGACGCTGACAACATTTTGATACGTGTGGGGGTCCGGGGTCCCCGCGTCGACTGGCGTTCAGCTGTCCAGAGGTATGCGGAGGTCCCCAGAGATCTCGGGGAACCTCCAGGAGCTCAATATGGGCTGGAAGCGTACAGGAATATCGGTCGTCATCCTCTCCTTTCGCGTCGTCGCCAGGACGTGTCTTACGTCCTTTTCGAGGCCTTGGAGCACGGGGACCACTTCGTCTCAAACTCAGACCTCCTGTTCCTGGACAAATGGGACCGTGGCGCGCCCCCGCCACGGCCTCGAGTAGTCTCGGGTCGAGGAGGAGGAGTAGGAGGAGGAGGAGGAAGAGGAGGAAGTGGAGGAGGAGGAAGAGGAGCAGGAGGAGGAGGATGAGGAGGATGTGGAGCGGAATGGAATGGACCCCTTTCAAAATGCGAAATTCCTGGGTGGTTAAGTGGAAGGCTTAGCACGATTGGCCGCCTGATCTTTGGGCGGCTTTCCCTCGATGTGATATAGAGTCATCGAGGTAACTGCGCCTGACACTGTTGAGATCTCCAGAACATTCGGGCGCAAGAGTTTTTCTGAGCTGCTCTGCCCCGTAATAGCCACAGGAAGAGCCACTCCACGACTGAGAGGAGGAGGAGGAGGAGGAGGAGGAGGAGGAGGAGAAGAGGACCGAATGAGATGGTTGGGTCCAACCTCCCCCAAGTGAGCCTAGAACCCCCTCGGCAGTCGGGAAGCATGTGAATTAACAGGTTCCAGCCCGAATCACGGCGTATTCAACCACTCCGTGCGTGCGCGTGTCTCGAAGGAAGCACACGCACGACACCTACCACATTTCCCACCACTATCATCGAGCACATGGGACGAGCCGAAGAGAGCGACGGTGGAGGAGGCAGGAGGGGGAGGCGGCCTGGCGGTAGCGCCACTGGACGGAAAAAGGTCGAGCCGCTATCGCCTCGAGGGTGGATCTGATCAATCTTCCCCTGACGCGTGAAGCTTCCATCTCGACCTTTTGCACGCTGTGCCTCGTGCCAGGGTCGACCCCACGTGCCTTGGTTACAACGCCTGCGAAATGGTCAGCAATCGTATTGCCAACCCTCACATATAAAGGGTAGCCGCACGCATGGACTGACTCAGCCTCGATGTGTGATGGACCCTGTGACACCACAACCTGCGACACATCGCGACTCTGAGACTGGATCAAATCACGATTGAGCTTCCATGCCAGAGTGTTGGATCCCTGAGACCAGCCGTCCGCAACAGCACTGTTATCGGTGACGTAGCTGATGGGCCCTTTCGTGAATTAGATCCCCAGGCGCAGGCCCCAGGCCTCACCGGGAGGAACCGACTGAGGCAGCCCAGGGATACTTCCAACGACGGCAGCCCGGAGAAGAGGAGGACCATGAGTACTCCAGATTTCTATTACAGGGAGGGGGGTCTCATTCCGGGGGGGGGGGGGTCTCTTCCAGGCTATCTTGGAGGGCCTGGGGGGTCTGGGGACGATGTTGTGGAGGGTTTTCCCACGGGGGAGGTCTGAAATGGCTTGTCTTGGAGGGTCCAGACCCCCTCCCTTTTATTACGAAATCTGGAGTAACCAGGGAGACCGCGGATACCCCACATCTCCGAATATTCTTATATCTGGAATATTGCTCTTTAGTTTCGCTTCCGCAGGAAAAACTCTGGATCGTCGCACTGGCCGACGCCGAGCGCGTGCTCGTTGGCCGCGTCGCTGGATTCTGACAAGAACTTCCGGACTTCCACGCACGTGAGCCCAGGCACCGGAACCCAAGACTTCGGGATGATATCTCGAGACCAGAAACAGGTTTCGGAATCTTGGCCAGACTGGGTCCTCGGAAGAAGGACGTGGGAGTCCTCGTGAACGCTATGGCCTTGGTTTTTTTTTTTTTTGGAACAGAACAAGTAACAGTGGATGGGAGCTTCGGAAGCCAAGCCGCACGTGGACCACGCATCGTCCTCGATGGAGCCCGTCTCCTCACGCGCTCTTGACAGCGGCCAAGTGCCGCCAACAGCGATAGTGATCAAGGTCTCGGCGAGCATGGACCCGTCGGGGACCCCTTGCGTGACTTTGATGGTAGCCCCGAGGGGCTCGCTGTCGGCCCCGCGTTGGAGCCCTTTCTCACATGGCGCGAAGCAGCTGGAGCCCAGAGTTCGCGCCCTAACCGATGGAGCGGAAAGTAACCCTCAGAAGCAGTAGCCAGGCCACCAGGGAACATCCAACCGAGTCCAGGCTCTTCGCCGCCAGCAGGTGCGCCCCACTCCGCGGGGGAGATCGCGTTCCACCTGAATTCGAGCAAGTACGCAATAAACATGGAGATCGGCCCACTTGACCATTGGCGCGCTGCGACACCCGCCGCGGCGCAATAGACCCTCCTGTGCTAGAGCAGGCCAAACAGCGCGCGCAGGAGCGCGAATACTGGGCTTCTCCACGCGTCTTTAGCCACAGGCGGAGCCCCTTGCGGTGTGCGAGGCAAGGGGGGTCGCGGCTGTCCGCCCCGAGATCTCAAAGCGCGGTCATGAACTTCGCCCGCTTGCCCAGCGCGGACGCGCGCCCGAGACGACGCCGACGTTGGGCGCGGAGACAACCGAAGTCCCTTGCAACCCGATGCCCCGGCACCCCCGCCGCCTGAGACCCATTTCTCTCGATGGGCCCCATGTTGACATATTTCTTAGACGCCCGCTCAAACCGCGCGCGCACGCGCCGGTGAGCTTGGCCTAGACAGCGCGTTTGGCACGAGCGGCCCCGGCGAGCATGCTGGCGCCGAGGTCGGCCCCCCAGGTGGGCGCTTTAGAGGGCAGCCCTCAGTTCGAAGCCGCGCGTCTTCAGTCGACGCACGACGTGCGCCCCGTTTGCAGCGGGCGAGGGCAAAACGGCGCTCTTGCTTGCCACCGGGAACCTTTGCCCCGCGATCGTCTGGCATGTGTCTAGGATGTCGTGAAACAACTTGCTTCTGGCGGCTGCGCGCGCGCCCGCGACGCGATGCGTCGGGTCGTCGACCCGAGTGCGATGCGACGCGCGCGGATGCGCTGTGGTAAGACGCTCCAGGATAAGGAACGCAAGACATCGACCAAAACGAGTGCCACTGTGGAGCCCTGGATGATACTCTGACTCGGCTGAGACGCATGAGAGCATGGGCCGCCCTGCGATGGGACACGCGGAGCGAGGCACATGTGATTCGAGCGCGAGCACCTGAGGTGGGGGACCCCTCTTGACAGCTGGCCCGACAAGGGGGCCCCACTGCGTAGCATCGTAGAAGCCGTTGATATCGAACAATTCTTCACCATGCGAACTACCAAGACGACATCTCGCAGCGCGCGCAAACATATCACGCGGAGGGCGGAGCTGCCCGCCGCCGCCGCGCCCCAGTCTGGGTGTCTTTGGACCAGGAACGAGTGGGTTCCCCGCGGGCAAGAGACCGCGTCCTGGACAACATTGACATGCGCCAGATGACTCTGCCCTCCCGTCCGTTCTGCCAAGGGGGCGGCCCAGCGCCGCCAGGAGCTGCCGGGGCCAGGGCGGGCAGGCCTCGCAGGCTCCGAACAATTCGGCGAGCTCAGAAATGTTTCTTTTTGTTTTCGGGGGGAGGGCGCGCCATGTCTACCGGGGCATTCCGTTGACCCCGCGCCGTTTTGCGTTGGGCTTCGTCGCGCGAAGGGCCGATTGGGCGAGCTCGGGGCTCCGCGGCGGCCGCCTCCCTGGTGTTCCTGAATAGATTTGTTGACCTTGTCGAGGCCTAGTGGCTGCGGGCTCCATGGGTGCTCCTCGATGTCAACCGGGCGACGCAAAGTCTCACCACCAAACTGAAGTTCATCTGGCGCAGGAGGGGCCTTCCCCGCGGCTTTGCGGAGTACCCCCAATGGCCCAGGTGAAGCAATCCAATCGCTGAACTGCCTGAGGGGGCCCCCCGACAGCCCGACGACGCGCGCGAGAAGCAGCGAGCTTGGCCGCGAAGGCCATCTTGTGCACCCAAGTGTCAGAGAGCGAGGATACTCGCAGTAGCCTGGCTTGCGAGTCGCCCCAGGCGGGGGCGTTCTCGCCGGAGTCGCCGCGGGCGGCGCTCGAAGCGGCGGGCGAATGGAACGGGCCGTGGGGACATGCGCGCCAGGCGGTTGGTCACTAGCCAGAGCCCGCGACGCTTCGCACTGCTGAGCCTGATGCGCCGTGTCATTGCCGCGACTGCGATGCCCGCTCAGCTTGCCAGAACCGTGGAGAGACGGCCCCCCCCCAGGGATTCGCAATATCGTGGAAATGTTGGTCGCGGGCTTCGTCCGCGGCCTTGGCGGCTTCGACGACTTGGAAAAGGCGCCGTGGTCCCGAGGCGGTAAACCTCCACAGCCGCGCTGACGATGCCCGAGAATCGCTGGCTCCAAAGTAGACGCCCAAGCATCCCGCAGTGTTCCTAGACGAAGGATGTGTTGGCCCCCTTCCGCGAACGCAGCATATTCCCTGACGGCGCCCCAAAGGCGACTAACCTCGCGCGCGCGAACGCACCCGACCCCCCCGCTCCTGCAGGCGATCCAAGAGGCTTGTGGAGAGGGAGACAGCGGGGGATCTCCGACTGCCGAGGGCTGGTTCTGAGGAGAGGTGGCCCTTGCATGCGAAGAGGCTTTGTTTCCTGCGTCGCGTTCGCCATGCTGGCAGCCCGTCGCCTGGGTCGCTTCGGACTTGGGCCGAGGGGGGGCGGCGGGGGCGGCGCCGGCCGTCTCGTGCGAGAAGAGCGCGCGACAACTAGTTCGGCGCCGGACTCGCAGTCTGAGGCTACCTCCCAAATGGAGACGGGGGTCCTGTCGGAGCCCTCGGGAACGCCCAACGTGGCGCGAGCTGCCTCGGTGACTTGCCCCCTCGACACCTGCTGCTGAATCCTACGCTGCTGCGTGGCAATGCTGGACTTGGACCCGTGGGCGGGGAGGCGCGCGGCCTCGGCGTCTGCGGAAGGCGAGCTGGCAAGACCAACTCAGGACGCAACGACTGGCTGCCTGAGCCTCGGAGGCGCAGCGCGGTTGCCATGGGGCCGCGGGGCCCGCCGAGACGCCTGCAATGCGCGGCGCGCGAGGATGATTGACAACGGCGTAATCTAAAAGTGCAGATCTGCCCGACGCACAAGTGGCCAGCGCTCCTGGAGCGAAAATGAGTCCGCCAATTTTGTCCACGGAGCCTTTGGCCGTCATAACTTCAGGAGACAGGTCGAGGTCCCTCTCGATGGACCAGGAAGACGGAACTGCGAGACAAATTTCCCACAGCGCGCATATCTCTGA